TGGGGGCGGTGGGGGGGGGGGGGGGGGCATAATTGAAACACTTGTGGCATATGCAATTACTTTCACATCGTTGTTCATCTTTTTTACTGATAGCGCCCTCCATTATTATTGGCACCCATGGTTAAAGCCTTAAAATACATGTCATTTTGATTGCATACTCTCATACTGAAAAATGTATACATGCAGAATCAAACTCCTACATATTTATACACATACACACACACACACACACACACACACACACACACACACACACACAGCATAAATACATACTAGTGAAGGTGCCCGGAACACATTGTCAAGAAAATCTTTGGGTTGGCTACCACTTTAAAGTTCTGAAGAATGGGGCCCCATGGTCGCATATTTGGACAGCACATTAGCATTAGCAGATAGCTAGGTTGCACCACCGATCACCGCACAGGGATTCACAATGGGCCACGGTCACTCTATGGGCTTCCGAGACTTGAGAACCGTGTTTGAACTGTGTCGTTTTCTCACGAATCAGTCTTGGGCATCTTTTTTCCCCATCCACTTGATTTGCAGCTCAGCACACAATGTCGCAGTATCAACTCAACACGATGCCGCATTTCTTCTTGGTGACTCTTTGATTATTCATGCTCCAAGAAAGTCACAAAGGGCTTCAAGTGATTCTTTAAGCCCAGAGAGGCTGAGATTCCACCATCTGGAATATCGTTGAAGGTCAGCGATGCTTTGCCGATTTGTATCGATTTGTATCGATGCGTTCCTCCTCTTTGGAGATTTTCTGCACCAAAGTGCCTTTCGTCACGAATAAAGTCCACAGCTTGTTTTTTTGGGATACCTCGAATTTGCAGCACAAGACCCGCCCATGAATATATTCACTTTGATGGAGCTTCAATAACATCCGTGTCTTCTGCTTTTGGAACGCATGATTTTGGGGGTGGGGCGGGGGCTGGAGACTGCCTGAGTGACACGGGCGGCGATGGGAGACCCCTGCTCAAAAGGTGAGAAGGGAAGCAGTCAGTGATTCTCAACGCAGCTGCAGTTGCTTCCATTTATTTTGCGGCTTCATTGACCACTGCTCCTCTCCCGAGCGCACTTGTGCATCTTCACCTGGTCCTTACGAGAGAATCTTTTCTCGCACCTTATGCAACTGAAGGGTTTCTCACCAGTGTGTCTTTTTGCGTGCCTCGTTAATTTGGAGTTCTGAGTGAATCTCATACCGCAAACTGAGCAGCCAAAAGGTTTTTCTCCAGTGTGTGTTCTCGTGTGTTCTTCTAACTGTGCCTTCTGTCTGAATCTCATCCCGCATACAGAGCAGGCAAAGGGTTTCTCCCCAGTGTGTGTTCTTGCGTGTAGTCTTAAATTTCCCTTTGTGGGAAACTTTTTGTCACAAACTGTGCAGGCAAAAGGTCTGTCCCCGGGGTGTCTTCCCACGTGGGTGGTTAAAGTCCATCTTTGAGCAAATCTTTTCCCGCAAACTGAGCAGGCAAAAGGTTTTTCTCCAGTGTGTGTTCTTGTGTGAGCGGTTAAAGTCCATCTCTGGGAATAACCTTTCCCACAAACTGAGCAGGCAAAAGGTCTCTCCCCAGTGTGTGTCCTTGTGTGCCTTGTTAAATCTACCTTCTGAATGAATCTTTTCCCACAAACTGAGCAGGCAAAAAGTTTTTCTCCATTGTGTGTTCTTGTGTGTCTTTTTAAGGATAACTTGCTGACAAAAGATTTGTCACACAGAGAACATTTCACTCTTTTGTTGGCAGTGCCACACGTCAAATCACCTTTCGAGTGTTCATCATCATCAGTGTCGGAAGACTGTGATGTGACGGCGTCATCATCCAAAAGGGAAGCTAAAAAGGCATCTGTTTGTGATCTTCCACCGTCTTCTTTTCCATCACCTTGTTCACTCTTCACACTGACACCAGTCAATGGAAATTTAGTGATTTCATCCTCCCGCTCCTCTACTTTAATGCGAGGTGGCCCTATCTCCTGCTCCTCTTTAATTTGGGCGGAATTTGGCTCCTCCTCCTCTTTAATTTGGGGGGAATCTGGCCTCTGCTGTTCAGGACCAAGATCTTCTTCTTTCAGCTCTGCAGGACATGAGAAAACAAACACACGGGTTGATAGAGTCGAGCTTTACCCAGTCATGTGTCATGTTGTGACTTTGAAGTCTGAAATGTTGATCATCTAAAAATGAAAAACAGTTTTTCCTTCATTGTTAAGTGCAAATGCATTCTATCGTCTTCAGTATTTATCATTTTTCTTTAACTGAGCAAAAAAAAAAAAAATTTTCTATCTGATAGAGTTTTCAGTAGAATAAATGGCCGCTGTCGGACAGCCCGCGTAGGTGCAGCGGGATGGCTGGCTGGCTGGCGGAGCTGAGGATGACGAGATCTGCCGGCGTGTATTTGGAACTGAAATTCGGCGTTTAGAGTTGAAGCGGATCTACGAGGGACAGGAGCACTGAACCAGCTTCTGTATTCGGCAATGGACACGACTGCTTCTTGTTTACTTCCAAACTTTGTGTGACATCATGCAGGATTTGAGCATGACGTCTCTGAGCCACTGGTGAAAGGAGACGTTGAGTCTCTCCTCCTTCATCTATAACCGCTTTGAACAAACGTATGTAGGAATAGTTGTTACGGTTGTACGACCGTCTGTTTTGAGTTATGTGTTCGCTTGTATTATTGTTAAAGCAGGGGTGGGAGGGCTTTGAACATGTAAACTGCACTGAACTACGACATTATGATGATCTTTTTCTTTCTTTCAATTTTTATTTGTAACCCTTATAACGTGTGTGCAGTTTATGTTTAATCACTCAAGCACAATACAGGACCAGTGTTGGTTATTGGAGGGGCACCACCCAAAAAGGCTTAACGTGGTTCTATTTTTCATTTGTATTTTTTTAAGTGACATGTTCCACCGTGTGTAATGAACAGTGAGCCGGTCCTTCTTGCGAAAGGACCACTGGAGAGGAAATTCCAACGCCCCTTTCATACGTCCGCAACGCGAGCTTGGCCCCTGGGGCCACGTAATCATGAGAGGACGCCATCAGATACACAGGATTGGATGTCAATCATGGAACCTCAGACCCGAGCAACGATCACATTAAAAATAAACACAGCAATCTTTTTCAGAATGAAAGGGAGCCACAACACGAGTCAAGTTGAACAAACCTGCTCGGCGTAAGACAATTCGAGGTTCCAACTTGCAAAGGTGACGTCGCGGCTCCGTGTCGTCTTGAGTCCCACCAAGTTCCTCCTTGTCCTCCGCCGCCTTTCTTGCACGCATTTTCACGCGTCAATCACAACACTTTACGCTCACCGGATCGCTTACGAGCGAACAAACACGTCCACTTGTTCGCAGCTAGCAAGCGAAGTTAAGCCAAAGAAGCTTCGGCGTGCGCCCAGACGAGTTGACGCGGACGCGAAGATTTCACTTACGATCTAGTCCAGTTTAGTGGAAATGTAGGCCACGCCGTCCCACTGTGTCGAGGCTTGATTTCGTTCGGAACTCTTTCGGGAAGAATGATTTTGTGGAACGCGTGCGTCCATGCCGCCATTTGGAGGGCCTAGGCGACGTGTCACCATCTTTTCATTCTTTTTTCAACCGCAGAGAAATGAGTTCCTCCGTAGGGAGGAGGGGAGGAGCCGGTGACTTGCACTCACAAGCTTGTGTCTCTTCATCCCTAAAGTTGTCTCAATCGTGAACGCCAGCGGGTCTGGACCTAGGTTACGAACATTCAAAAAGTTTCGAAGTAGTGCACATAGTTTTGTTTTTGAATCGACTAATCAACTTGATCTCAGATAAAGCATCATTATAAAAGTCACGAGAGTCTGTTTTGGGCTCACTGAATTTAGCTAGGGTGAGTAATTTTTGGATAATAGAGACCACGTCTCCTCACAACCATGCACAGCCAACAATGCGCAAGCATTTCTATTACTGACTTTGTAATGTGACGGACATTTTTCCCTATATTTGTACGCAGAGGATTGGGGAGAGAAACAGATGGTACATTTGGTTGAACGCTTTTAAATCGCTTCGCGGTCCCCGTGGCTCTGGCATCAAACGGTATGGCGCCCTCTTTAGGGCCAGGAAACAATCGCCTACTCTTTCCCGTCGAGTGGTGGCGATGCACGTGAATGTTTGCCAATTGCCGCAAAAAAAAAAAAAAAAAAAAACGATCTAAATAGACGAAAAAGATGGACTCATTGACCACTTTTATTTTGTCAGTATCTTGAAACCGATCTGGAAAACCGGGAACAGACCGAGGCTACTATCTACGCTACGCAATCTACCGGACAACAACACTAATGAGAGACAGGAGATGCGAGCAGCTCGAAAGAAATAGCTTTTTGTCACTATTTTAAGTGAGAAACATTTCCACATTTGCTGGAAAAAGTCACCATCTGGTGAGGCTGTGTTGAATTGGGGGAAAAAAGTGTTTTGCTACCATTTTGTGGCATCTCTCGACAACTACAAACCCTTTTGGGTGGTCATCAATTATTGACGGATTTTTGCTCTTCGCAGGGGTTCACTGTAGTATCTGTGACTTTTGTTTCCACTCTGAGTTTTGGAGATCATTTTTCGTCAGTGCTGTGAGCGGTGTTAACACATCAATGTACTTCCTCAGCCTTCCCGACAGTCCACAAAGTTTCCTTTTATCCAGTAACAGATTTGAGCGTATTTGAGAGGCGTGATTCTCACGGCGACATTAAATTCCTGAGACGCCCCTTGACGCTCCACCCACTGGTGCCCAGAAAACACACCGATCACCTTCCTCTCCCATCGCCGACGCCGCCCGTCCCACATTCGGGCGTAGACCCCCGACCCGCTGGCCCCCGGCTGGGCGTCGCAGTGCTGGTAGAGCAGGTCTGACGTCTCCTCTCCGGCCTGACAGAAACGATACACCAACTGTCCCGGACGGTCGTTATCGAACCCGGAGAAGTGAACCCGTCGCCCGGGAAGCCTCTGAGAAGGAGGACTCACACCCAACTTCATGTGACGCCGTTTGTGGGCTTTCTTGAGTTCTAAAAGCGCGTAGTCGTAGTCCATCCCGATGTCATTGGCATTGCCTTTAATCCATCCTTTGGGTACATGTGTGCGCTTTGCCCGGATCCACTGGAACTTCATCTTCTCTGACACGATTGGGCCGACGTTTGGCCCGCTCTCAACATGGTTGCTCAAGTTGGAAATTGGAGACCGTAGATCCCGTTGTCTGGCTTTTAGAAAGCCCACTCTGAGCTTCTGAGCGCCCTTCACATAGTTTTTACCGTCATGAACACAATGAGCGGCCGTTAGAACATGCCGGTCCCCGACGAGAGTACCAGAACATCCGGTGGACAGTTTGACAGCCACGGAGAAAGGATATTTAAGCACAAAGTTGTGCCCTGCAATGCTGTATCGCCCATCGTGACCAAAGATCTGACGCTTTCGTCTGGTATGTGACCGTTGGCCTTTCTCAGACGGCGCCAAGGAGTATGCGGGGCTTTTGTTGGATGCCAAGTTATAACCGTAGAGCCCGACGGCGGTCTCAGTGAGTCGACCGTCTGAGTGAAGAGTCTCATAAGCCAGAAATTGCTCCAAGTCCCAGTAGCTAGGCAAAGGCGCTGTTTTGTGGCATTCTGGGTCACACGCGGAGCTGACGTTAAGGCGGGCTTGGGACAGGAAGCGTGGGGCCGGGCGACTCTCGCTTTGCTGTGGGAGGACCACGGGGACACGCTGAAGAATCCACTGAGGTCGTGAGAAGGAGAAAGCCGCTGGAAGCATGACAAGGAAGAGAAGGATGTGGATGGAGGGGAACCTGTGGATGGAGCAGAGGACGGCAGATGGACCGGAAAGATCAGTATAAGGACCTACTGTGAATCCCGATTCATCACGAGGGATTGAAGACACACCTGTGATAGGTGAAAATCCACGATAGCGTGATAACTATGTATTTAAAAAAAAAAGTTGAATTTAAGGTAGACTCTAAACTCTTAAAAAGACACCTCTTTTCACTTTCTTGCCATGAAGAAATGGGAGAAAAACATATAACATCACTTTGAGAAATAGCGTGAAAGACTGTTGCACAAATAAGAGCTCGAGTGTGCTTGCTTCAAGCTGTGTGTCACTCATAGTTGAAGTTACTCTAAATCTAACAGCAGAGATTAAACCAGAGAATTACAAAGCTTGTATTTTAAAACCAAAAAGAACCAAACCGTTTAATTTTGTCGAACAAAAATCCACGATCTTAATGCACACAAAATGCGAAACACTATTTAAGCTAACAGTAAATAGCGCAGATGTTAAGAATAGCCCCTGCTGTAAACCTTCAAACACCTACTGCATCAGCGCACACAGG